GTGTTTCCTCTTCTGTAAAATGGCAATTATAACACCATCGGCCTCATAGGACTGGATTAGGGATTAAGTGAGATAATACACAAAAGTGATCAGGACAGCTCCTGGCACATAGGGTCATGTAAGTGTCAGCTGTCATTACTGCTGTTGATCGTCAGTGTCCAGCTTAGCGGGTCCTCATGGCGACATTGATCTAGTGGCATCCATAGGAAGACGGGATTTTTTTCAGTGCTGGGGATTGAACCTGAAGCCTCACACAGTCCAGGCTACTGAGCTCAGCCCTGGGCCATAGGATAAGTTTTGTTAGTCCCAGGGGGGTACGGGGTGGTGAAGTGACTTCTCCAAGGTCATCCAGCTGTGATGGCAGAGACAGGACAGACACCGGGCTCCTGCCAGGGCCCTGCCTACACCAGCTGCCTGGCTTGGAGCAGCCGCACACAGCCCCTGAGCCAGCCTCTCCCGGCTCGACCCCCTCCTCCCCCACGCAGATACTCCTGTGATCACAGCCTCCTCCAGGGGGGAGGAGGAGGAGGAGGAAGGACAGGGGTGGAGGGAGATGGATCACCGAGACAGCACAGGCACAGTTGGGTGAGGGAGAGCGAGCGAGGGGGTGCAGAGAAAGGAGGCTTGGGTGGGAAAGGAGGAGGCTGCAGGAAACTCCCAGCTCCCTCCTGTTCCTCTCTACCAGGCTGAGCACCCACACTGCCTGGGTGCTGCCCAAGGCTGCCTGGCCATGCCCTCCGCCTCCAGAATCGCCCAAGGCTGAGCACCACTCCTACCTCTCACACACGCACACTCAAGTGCACACACTCGCTCGCACCACCCCTGCCTCGCAGCATCTGAGCCCCACACCCCAGCCCATCCCCCGCAGCCCAGCTCTCAGCAGGGCCTCCCTCCCCGGCCCTGGGCAGCCAGGAAGGCCTGGGAAGCCACTGGACCAACCAGAGGCTTCTGAAAGCCCATGGCACACACAGGCGTATGTGGGGGGGACACCGATGGTGACCAGCTAGAAGGTTCTCAACCCCGGGGCGGGGGGGACTTCGGAGACCTGTGCTCGGCTTGTCCCCTCTGTGGGGAAACTAGAGGCTGGAGGGGGGCGGAGCGCCGGAGGACAGGGTCCCTGAGGTGCCTTAAGGTCCTGGCATGGAGAGAGAGGCCCCATGTCCAGGCTGGACACTGCTGGCCTCTGCGACAGGCGGCCCTGGAGGAGGAAAAGAGTCACCACACAGGGGTCAGGATAGAGCAGCAGCCCAGACACAAATTCCCCCCAAGCAGGCCATTGCCAGAGATGAAGACATGGATACACAGGGCTCGCTGAGGATGGGGGCGGTGCACAGCTCAAGGGCTGTGGGTCATTCTGCCCTGGAGCTAGGGTGCTGGCCCCAGTGCCCAGGGCACGGCCCCTGGTGTTAAGGCTCACTGTGACCTCTGCAGTTTCCCAACACACGCACAGTGAGCAGATGCAGAACATTGGCTGAGAGAGGCGCCCCTTCCCTAGGCTCCACCGCCCTCCTGAGAGCGCTTCATGATCAGCGTCTGCCTCTCCAGAGCTCTCTCTCTCCAGCCAGAACCCAGATTCCAAGAGGGCAGGGCCTCGCCAGTCCTGCTCACACCACATCTGCAGCCCACAGCAGCTCCTGTACACAGTAGGTACTCAATACATGCTATCAAAGAAATGAATTCACATGATAAAAAGCTTATAACTAGGCTTATTATTATGGGTGGTGGTACACACCTGTAATCCCAGCACTCAGGAGGCTGAGGCAGGAGGATCACGATTTTAAGGCCAGCCTCAGCAACTCAGTGAGACCCTGTCTCAAAATTAAAAAATAAAAAGAGGTGGGGGTGTGGCTCAGTGGTAAAGCGCCCCTGTGTTCAATCAATCCACAGTACCAAAAAAAAAAAGGGATTTAGGATCTTGCCCAGAGAGAGACTAGGCAGCGACGTGTGGGCAGCCTGGAGCCCAGCTCCCTGGGTGCTGTGCTCACTCCATCCCCCTGTGAACACGTGCTGAGCACCCAGGACGTGCTGGGTGCCGTGTGAGGTGCTAGAAACACACAGTAAACAAAAAGACCAGTCCCCACCCTCACAGGCTTCATCCTCCTGGAGGAAGTAAGTAATCAACCAATAAATTGTGAGTATAAAATATTTCAGGTTATCCTTGATGCTGCCAAGAGAAATCGCTTGGGAAATTAGGACTGGAGAGGCCCCAGGGCAGGTGCTGGAGGAGGGAGAATTGAACCCAGGGGTGCTTTACCTCTAAGTTACACCCCCCAGTCCTTTTTTATTTATTTACTTATTTTTTGAGATCGTGTCTCACTAAGTTGCTGAGGTTGGCCTTAAACTTGCAATCCTCCTGCTTTAGCCTCCTGAGTTGCTGGGATTACAGGTGTGCCCCACCACGTCTGGCTGCAAGGTAGTACCCTTGAGAGACAGATTAGGGAAGGAAGTGAATGGAGGCCAGAAGGAAGAAATGGGAAAACCTATGTAGGTGTGAAGGAAGAATACTCAGACAGAGGGGACAGCAAGTGCAAAGGTCCTGAGACAGAATGGGCTCCGTGTGTTCGAGGAACAGCAGGAGAGCAGGGTGGCTCAAAGAGAAAGAACAAGTTGGCTGGTGAAAGGAGAGGAAAGCCAGATGAGGAACAGAGAGGGTCTGGGGACATGAGATGCAAGGTAACCAGAGCAGACAAATGACTTGAAGGGACAGGGATCACTCAGCTACTATATAAGGTTGAAAGGGAGCAAGGTCAGAATTGGGGAGTCCGTTTGGAGATGACCGCCAATAACCCGGGCGTCAGTGACGGGGCCCCGCCCTGGTGGGCAGCAGGAGAGAGGAAAGACCCGCTCAGAGCCTGGACAAGCTGTGAAGGTAGAGCTGCTTCTAGGTGGTCAGTGGATGCCGCCTGTGACCCCCCTAGGGCAAGGGCTGCTGACTGTCCACTTCCTTCCAGAGCTACCTTCCTTTTAACTGAGAAAGTTCCCACAGGAGAGAAACCTGCGTTCTCACCGTTCATCCTCAAGTCAAGTGACAGAAAAACCAAAGGACTTAGGAGGGGACACGGCACCCAGTTGGGAAGGCCTGGTCAATTGAGCCGTCTGCGGGCCCCAGAGAAGAAGGCAAATCTTTGTTAACATAAGGTGGAGGGCCGGGTCCAGCTCTGAGCTGCACTGCTGAGTGCCACAGAGTAGCTGCTCTGGGAGGCCACCAGGAGGCTGCAAGCCCTTGACTCCACAGTCAGGCCCCAAGCCAAGATGACCCCGGGCAGCCCAGCTGCTACCTCCCCCAGGACCTTAGACTTAGTGACCCACGTCTTGGAGGCTCAGACCCCACCTCTCAAGATGAACCACAGGGCTTGGGCACAACGTGAGCAGTCAGGCCACTTGTAGGGCTCACAGAACATGGAGCTGAGTGCCTTCCCCATTCACAAGCAGTTATTGAGCACCTATTATGTGCACTGGGGACCAAAACTGAGCTAGATCCATGCAACCCCCGACTGGGCTAATATTTAAGCCAGGATGACCCAGACCACGAATAAGCTGGGGTTTGATGGAGAATAGATGGGGCAGGGTGATGGCTCTGCAGACAGGACGGTCAAGACCATTCTGGGAACAGGTGAGCTGGAAAGGGTCAGACAGGAGCAGGCCCAGGGAAGAGCATGCCAGGCGGAGGGGGCAGCAAGTGCAAAGACATTAGCACAGATGGGAGCCTGGTGCCTACTAAGGGCTGCATAAGGGCGCCAAGGTTGCTGGGTGCAGCCTAAGAGAGAGGCAGAGGGGAGACAGGGAGGAAGGCCGCAGGTCCACATCCTGAGGCACATCCTGAGATATCTTGAGTGCAGTGGGGGTTTGAGCAGGGGAGCAACTGGTTACTTCCTTTGTAAGTTGCTCTGGCTCCTGAGCAGAGGAGGTAGCCGCTCACCTGCCCTGGAAGCAGGCAGCCAGCAGAGGCCTCCCAAGGCTCCCAGGTGAGAAGCAATGTGGCTTGGATTCGGGAGGTGCCAGTGGAGACAGCACCTATTCAGGAAGCAGAACCAACCGGCCTGGATCAAGAATGGCATGCGTTCGAGAGAGAGATTCTCCCTGAGTTTCCGACATGAGACCACCATGGTGCCATGATGAGGAAGAGGAGGGAGGAGCAGATGGGGGGAGGGTGGCCACCCTAGATTCCCTGCACACAGTCAGCTGCCTGCCCTGCCTCCCAATGGCACTGTCCTGAGCTGAGAGGAAAGGTGGGCACCAGGAAGACCCAGAGGAAGTCATGGGCAAGTCTCTACTAAGTGGTGGGCCACAAGGGCCACTCATTCCTGTCCATCCCACAAGCCCAGATCTCCGGGAGCATCCCCAGTACCTGCAGTGTCTCCAAGGCCTGGCTGGCCACGCCGGTGGTGAGCGAGGCCACCTGCACGGCCTGCCTGCGGGCAGCCAGGAGGATCCTGCAATAGGTGAAGCAGATGGCACCAGAGGGCAGAAAGAAGGTGAGGCCTGACGCCACGAGGACGAAGGGCAGACTGGCCAGCAGTTGGCACTGGCTGGGAGCAGGTGCCCGCACGTGGCCCAGCTCGTGCCAGCCCAGCAGCAAAGGCAGGAAGGAGGCGAGCGCAGCCAGGCTCCAGGCACCCAGGACCAGCGCCAGGGCGCGCGGGGGCGTCATGCGCAGCTTGTAGCGCAGCGGTGACAGGATGAGTAGGTAGCGGTCCAGGCTGATGAGGCAGAGGTTAAGGATGGAGGCGCTGCAGCACATCACGTCGAAAGCCGCCCAGAGCAGGCAGAGGCCACGCGCCAGCACCCAGCGTCCGTACATCGCGTTCAGCATGGCCGGTGGCATCACCACCAGCCCCACCATCAGGTCCGACGTGAAGAGCGACACCAAGAAGAAGTTGGACGTGTTGCGCAGCGCTGGCTGCGTGCAGATGAGCGCGATGAGCAGCGAGTTGGCCGCCGCGGTCAGCGCTATGACCACACACAGCACGGCCGCCACCCAGCCGCTGCCCCCGGGGGCCGCCGGGGGTCCGGGGCCCCAGGCCGGGGTGCTGTTGTTGGCAGGGCCTGGATCTGGGACCATGGAGGCTGGGGCTGGGGATGCGTACAGAGACGTGATAGGATGGGCGGGGAGACGGTGAGCAGCCTGGAGGAGCCGAGGTTGTTGTCCGCGAGAAGAGCAACACTGTCCCCAGACGGGTAGGCGACAAGAGAGGGGCGGGGCGCTAAGTCAAGGGGCAAGGACCAGAAGTGGAGGCACTGGGGTTATATCTCCCGCGCCCCGGGATGCGGCAGGGACCCCTCGAGGCCACGGGCAGGAAGTTTGGGGAGGGGCACCTGATGAGCGAGTCCCCCTGAAGGGAGCCGCGGAAAGTTAGGCGGAGGTCGGCTGGGCTCCCCGGAGCGGGACAGTCCCCTGAGGGGGCGGGCCTAGGGTCGGGGCGGGGGCACCAGGAAGGCGGGACCCGGGGCCGAGGGCGCTGTCCGGCGGCGCAGGCTGCCCCGCGAGGGTGGGCGTGTTGGAACGCTAGATCGAAGCCGTCGCGCTTGGGGTCGCGGTTTGGTGGCCCAGGGGCTGTAGCAAAGCCCAGCAGGGAAGGCAGGTCTCTCTCCCGCCGACGCAG